GTCCTGCTCCCAGCGCTGTGCGGAGAACCAGCCCCTGTTCAGAATGTTCAGCTCACCAATAGCCTGGCCAGCAGGCTCCTTCCTTCCCCCACTGCCCCTGGCTGGGCCAGCACCCTGGGAAAGCCCAAGACCCTCCGGCCCAGAGCACTAGCCAGGAGGAGCCAAGCCCTGCATGGGCCAAAGCCCTGCACAGCACTGGCACAGGGATGCCTCTCCGCCCCTCAGCTAAGCTCTGGAGTGGCTGGGGAAGGAGGGAAGCAATTTGCAGCCTGTTCACACCCCAACCCTGCAGGCTCCACAGCAGCCCCCCAGGCAGAGGTTTAGCACCCTCTTCACCTGCCCCTCCCATTCTGGGTCCTACCCCCAGGCAACACGGGGCTGCTCCGTCCCCTAGGCACCCTCCTCTGCTGAGCCACCTCTCTGGCTAGTTCGCTGAAGCCCCTGTAGTCAGGTTCCCTGGGCCCTGGTGCACAGTGCATCCTTAGGGCTTAACCCCTTCCTGCCCATGCTGTAGCCAAGGGACAGGAGGCGGCTGGGTTATGTCGCTGGCCAGCATCAGCCTGGAGGTGTTAGCTGCCTTTCGACATTGCAGGCAGGAAGGGACAATCTGCTTCCGGCCACAGGGGAGCGGGGATGAGAGATGAGCTCTGCAAAGGCACAGGCCAGGTCATCCCTTCCCTGTCCTCCTCCCCTGTGGCTGAAAGTAGCTACCGTCCCTTCCCTCCCGCACAGGGCCAAAAGGCTGCTGTTGGCCACATTCTGGTGTGAACCCTGGTAGAAATCTGGGGAGGGGGGCATGTGACCCTGCGTGCCCCCCATGTTACTTCAGAAAGATATAGAACCAGGTACGGGTTGATCCCAGGGGCCCAGCCAGGCATGGAGGGTGGAGAGTGCCGGGCAGGGAAGATTGGGTGGGTCAGTCACCCTCCCTATGTAAGAGAGGCTTACGGGAGTGTGGGTGCATCACCCCTCCCTGTGTAAACCCTAAAGCCTTAAAGATAAGAAAGTAAATAAAAAGAATCCAGCTACACAGTATTTTTTTTTAACATGGGCTCAGTCAACTTGATGTTAATCTGAATGTTGCATAGTTTTGATTGATTGCTGTTGGACTCGCTTGAATACGAGTAATTTTACCTGGTGTCCCGTATTCAGCATAGGGAAATATGGTCACTCTACTCATAATTATTTCCTGCTGAAATTTGCCAGGTTTGTAGTAAAAGCATGTTGTTGTTTTTTCCTAACTGCCAGCCCTGCAAAGCCAACCTGCGTTTTGAAAGTCAAGCTTCATCATCATCATCAACAGTACTAAAAGTTCTTCAGGCCCTATTACATCCTCCTTTACACATTTCTTCTTCAGCATAGGCCCATAAGTGACACCTGTGCAACTCCATTGCATTCCATAAGTTTGTATAGGTGTAACTGAAAATGGACATATAATAGAAACATATAATAAATGCTGATAATGCACACTAGTGATTTTATATGCATAAATGAAAGCCAAATTAAGGGCCTTTAAAAAAAATTCCTTAGTGTCCTGCCATCAAATGTAACTCAAATGGCAACATGAAAACAATGAGTAAAAAGTTCCTAGTACAGGGTATCATGTATTGTGAAAAGTAGCCTACACATATAGGAGGAGAGGATGGATTGGCCATGATATAATCGTCAATTTAAAAATCTGTGCATTTGTTTCCATCCACATAAATCCATTAGATGTTCTTGCTAATAAATGAATTTCTATTCATCAGTATGAATATAATGAAATCTGATGCAACATATTTAAATAGAAATAGCACCTTGAAGTGTCTGACTAGAACTAAGCATCAGTAAGCTTCTAGTACATTCATGACTTGATCCTGTAAGGTGCTGAGTGCTCCGGACACAGTCCAGCAAAATACTTAAGCAATTGCTTGAACTTTAAGTACCCAAGTGGTTTTATTAGCGTCAATGGGACTACTTTTGTAATTAAAGTTAATCACATGCTTAAATGCTTTCTTGGCTGGAGCCAGAGGGTAATACTTTACAGCCATTAATATAACTTGGTATTTTTAGTTCACATTAACTCTGTGAATTTTCGAATGCACAACTAGGTGTGCAATTTACACAACCTATTGATCATAAAAATCCAGACAACTCCATTGCATAGTAGGAACAAACTTCAGTGCAAGGTTCATATTTCAAAAGTATTACCAACTCTGTATAAGTATCTGACAGAGAAAGGACTTCCCTTAGTTAATTATACTTAGAATGAGGAAGATTAACCTAACCGGGATTTCTGTGTCCACTAGAAATAGATTTCTAGGTGTACTCCATCCCATTGATATGCTTTGTGAATGCATTAGATAGGAGTGTGTTCTTTTTTTCCTCCTCTAATTTTTTTTAACATGAATTTAGTGTATGTGCATTGCACGTCCTCACTTTAGATCCATCCTGCAAACTGAGGCCATTCAGTACCTTGCAAGGGTGCTAAGTGTGGTTCAAGCCTTTTACCTGCAGGACATTTACAGTACAGGTAACAGTAGAATTACCAGCTTCCCACCCATGTGCTTCACATCTGGTCACGGAGAATGCAATGCACTCTTGCCTTAGCATATTTCAATGGGGAGGTGTCTACACTGATGTAAAACCTGTGTCAAGGAGGCCCAATATATTTTGCACTGGGTTTAATACGATCAGTTAACAAGTGATGTACTATCATTCCTACAAGAGATACCAATTATGAAAGGTTAGTAAGGTGAAAGTAAACATCCCAGACTTCAAAAACCATGAATCCCATCAGCCCAGCAATAAGACAAGACAAAATGCCAAAAACTCTATGAGGAAAATTCTACTTGTATCAGCAGATTCCATTGCTGCAAAATATAACACATCAATTCAAACACAAGAATTAAAAGGTACAAAAACAAACCTGTTCCATACTTTTGCTGCTTTGCAATGAGACCATCTCCTGTCCTTCCAGAGCATTTACTGCTGAATCAAATGCTGAGTGACAGTTTTGTTCTTGTGCTTTTAGTTTTATTTCCAAAGTAGTGATAAACAAGCAGAGTTTCTGTTTCTTTTCTATGTGAAATGCACTTTTCAACTGTACTCTCCTTGCTTTCCCCCCCCATCACCTGCTTTTGGTATTGGCTTTCTTCAACAGCGTCAAGTTATGTCCTTCCTTTTTAATGCCTAAACAGCTTTTTGCAATGAAGACGTCTTCGTTCCAAGTTCCATCACTGCACTGCTTAAGTCTTTAATTAGATAGGAAATTTCTCTATCGTTTAAAAAGACACGTTCTCTAAACACTCCATTTTCTATTTGATTCATGCACACTGTAGGGGGGTCAGAATTTTCCAGCCTATTGGATCATGCCTTTGACTTGCTTGATTGTATATAAATTCAATTGTGCTTTGTGTCATTAGAACAAATCATCTTCCTTCTGTTTAGCTACTCACATAAACCAATTTTTCTTGCATAATAAGCCTCTTGGAGTCTCAAATTTCTTCAGCAGCTAATCCTGACTGATATCTTTATTTGAAGTCTATGTTCATCTTATTTCATAGTCCAACCAATATCTAGGTGGATCCTCCTACTCTGAGACTTCTAGTCCTCTTTCACATCTAGTATTCAGCTCCCATCATATACCTTTCCATCAGTTTTTTTGTCATTATCATTTTCATCCTGCCTCTCAAGTGCTAGAAACTATGAGAACTACCTCTATTTCTTGAAATTGTCTTTCCAGATCTGATATAATGCATTATAATTTATTTTCCTTCCTTTGACGATAGGATCTCTGTTGACGTTCTAATCACTATCCACCTTTAACAACTTTCCCCATATCTGATTATTTTTAATCTGTAATTTCATTTTGTCTACTAGTTCAAATGGTCAATGTTAGCATTTATGTTTATCTAACTCTATTGGTTGGGGTAGTGTCATGTTTACTTCTTTGTGGTTAATGTAATTATGCTTTCCCTTTATTTCCTCCAGGAGCCTATTGTGTTTCTCTTTTTATTCCCTTTCAGATATTTATTTTACCTTCATGTTCCTCTACTTGGTTATTCCTTTCCTATGTTGAAATTTTAGGTCAATCTCCTCTTCATGATTTAAGACATAATTGACTGTGGTGTACTGTCTGCTCTGCAGTCACATGTGCTTTCCTGAGCTTCCATTTCATCTCAAGATCATTCATTCTTCCAATGAAATCCTTCTAAGTGATTGCTTTAATTTTCAAGTGGCAGTCAAAGATTTGATTCTCTGATGCAACTCCTACTCTCCCCACAGTTTTACTTTATCCAATGATTCTAGCTCCTTCTCTTGCTGCATGTTTACCTCTCCATGTCTCAGGGTCCACCACTGACTTCTGAGAACCCCAGTTCACCTATTCGGTTGCTTTCTCTAAACAGTGATTTCCTCTCTTTTCCTATCTCTGTGGTTTCAGAATCTAACAATTTAGTATGAATTTTACCAGTGTGTTTTTAAATCTCTATTTCCAATTTTGTACAGTTTTTCCCCCTTCAGATATTTACTATTGCATTTATTGTCAGCATTTAACTTTTATATATATATTTTAAAAAGGAGCTTCTGTAGTTCTTCGGTGAAATACAAACCACCTTTGTTGAAAGCATGCAATATGGAGACACAAAGGACATGGTATTATAATAAAACCATTTGGTAGATAATAGTTCACAAAGCAGCCAGTAATTGCACTTGATATTTTTTCCCAGTGTTTGATTCGTTTTTGTAAATTCTGTATAGATGTTTTTAGCGTTCATGGTGTGCTGGTCCTTATCCGATTATCAAATCATTCCAGTTTGAAACTATAATCTTTATAAAATTCCTAATTTTAATTCAAATATCTTGCAGCTTGAAGTATTATGCAAATGTTTCATGACAAAAATGCTCCAATTTAAAGCTGCTCAAATAATTATTTTCTGTTTTTTGCACATGGATTCAGTTGTTCACTCCATAGGCTCTTTTAATATCCTACAGGATAAAGAGAACATTATAAGTTAAATCTGCTTTATTTAGAAATTTATGTTGGCACCCATCCCAAGCACCCAAACATCACAACAACTTCTTAAAGGATGGAGATCCTTCTGTCTTTACAACAGAAAGCATCAAAGGGCGATTGTACCAGTATAACTATAGCAGTTAAAAACCCTCCTAACTGGCATAATTGTACTTCTACAAAAATGGTGTACAGACCAGGCCTGCAACTATAGCTAGAGCTGGTCAACATTTTATTTTTAATTTTCAAAATTGCAAAACACTGTTTGGTGACTTTTTTTTTTCTTACAAAAAACTTTTTTTTTTACACTATCTTTTTCTAAAATTTCAAATGGTAATATTTTTTCACATTTTTTTTGGAAAAAAAATTGTTCAGCATTTTGTGACTAGTTCTAATGAAGACGGGAGCTAAACAAAATTGGATGAAACTTTGCTAGAGAAAATGATTTGGGGGTTGCTTTTATTCTAATACCCCATTCACACCCACCACCAGCCAAATTAGCTGTTTCTTTTGATTTTAGCAAAACAGATTAAAATCTCCTCAGAGTGAGAAAACTCAACTCAAATAGTCCTAAGGCAAGTCACATCCCAACAGACTCTCCACTGCTCCAAACAGTTCCTCTCCACAAGACTTTACTGGGGCCATGGCAGAGGATAAGAATAACTTTTGATTCAACCACAGTCATTGCATGGGACTATACTTTTATCCACATGACCGGTATTCCACGCAGATGCTTTAGCCTCCTTCCTTATTGCTTTATTACTCAAAGGTCACCGGTAACCTGTGGACACCCCTATGATTAATTAATTAATTAATGAGGCAAGAAAAAAGCTGGAACAAAACTATATGGTTAATACAGAATATTATCTTTTTCTTAGGTATAACATTGCTCAATGCCAGAAAAGTGGCTGCTGTTCAACTTCAGCTTTGATTTTTCATTGGTCTTTTGTTTCATAACTCTGCAAGACTATTTTCACTTGCATCAAACCAACAAATAGTATTGGAATATATTGTGCCCATCAGTACCCACCATTATTTTATTGAAGACCAATAAACAGCACAAGGAAAATGTAAAATACCAAATATACATAGCAGTTCAACATATTGAAGGGCCTGCCCCAACTCCCATTAACATCAATGAAGAGACAACCACTGATCTTACTGGGAGTCAGTAAGTCCCAAATAGGGTACAAGCCGAAGTTGGATTGAAATGTCATATTCTGTAAAAGTCAATATACAAATGTCCCCATGACCTCAATATGCAGAAGAACATTTACAGGTTCAAACTCAGATCTCAACATAAACCAAATATGCTGGTAATATTTCAGGGGTGACCATTATACTATCATCCCCTCCTCTGCATAGTGATGTGAAGGTCTGGGTATCAAGGGCTTGCCCTGGAGAGGTCCTGATTATCTCCATCTCCCACTATAGTCAATTTCCATCAGTGGAGTTCACAAAAGATCCAAATGCAGTAAAAAAACCTGCCCTCCTCTCATTTGATTGCAAGCAGTGCTGAGCACTCACAGTTTCCATTAACTTTAATGAGATTACTGGGTTCTCAGCACCAATCAGAATAAACAAGAGGGCAGAAGATGTGATTCCTGCATCAGGATCTTTGGAGATCATCCATGGATATGGATAGGGATTCCAGAATGCTACTTATAGATGCATTTTCACCTGTTTGATAATGAAGCCTTGCAACAAATCTATCAGACTCCTTCAGAGTCAATTCAGCTGTTTCCCCTGGCTAAAGGGGAAAAGTAAGCCATCTACACCTACACATGGAGCACATTACATTCCCATTCACACTGTCTCATCTCCGCTGACCAGCATACTGTGGAGGGGTTGGGATAAGAGCCAATACTCAGATTACTGCTGGCTCCATCCCAGCCACCTGCATGGGAAGGGACCTAGCAGCTCTGTGGCAGCTTTCTCCTCTCACATACAAACTGGTAACACACAGACAGAAGTAAAGAGCTGCCTAGCACCCCTTTCCCTTGTGCAGGTGTATAAGGCAGGCCCTATGTAAATTTGCATTAAACCTTTATGCCACATTGTCAGGGACGGCTCTGGCTTTTTGGTCGCCCCAAGCAAAAAAAAAAAAACCCTGCGGCGCAGCCGGAGCGCGAGTGCAGGGGAACTGGCTGGGAGGGGGAGGGAGCGGGAAGGAGAGAGAGAGAAGGGGACGGCCATGGCTACAGCAGGGGCACTGCCACACGGCCCCTCCCGCTGCGCCGCCTCCTGCCGCCTGCCGCGAGGGCTCCGCTCCGGTCAGCAGGGAGGGAAGGAAGAGGACTGCCCTGCAGGCCGCTCTGGTTCTCCACACCGCCGCCCCCTACAGGGCGGCCGGAGCGGAACAAGAACAAAAAAAAAAAAAAAGCATCCGTGCCGCCCTAGGATG